TGCTCCAGAAGACAGAGAGGCAGTGAGTGCAAGAAGCTGGGAATTACTTTTTTTTTTTTTTTTTTTTTTTTTTATGAATCTAATGGGCTATGAACCTGGCTTCTGCCATGTTCTTCACTACCACCTCCATGCCTTTATTAGGCACCACTGTGTGCATGGCTGAACATTAAGGGGACTACAGAGAGATGCCAAAAGGTGTATGAGTGTGCCTCCCCTCATGAAGGGATTCAGTAGCTTTATTTGTTCCTGGAGGTGGCTCAGAAGATGCCTAGACTTCCCACCACTAGTAGATGGTTTAGATCCAAGCCTTTGGTTTTTGTTATATGTGGGCAGCACCCAGAAATGGCACTCTCTTCTCCCATTTGCCCTAAACCAATAACACCTTGTGAATCAGTCATCTACTGCTGCATAAAAAATAACCCAAAACTTGGTGTGGCCTCAAACAACAATTGTGTATACTCAGTCTTGATTCTGTGGGTTGCCAATTTAGAGTGGGCTCAGCTGGTCTGAGATGATCTATTGAGGTTCACTGAGCTCAGCTGCGTTCATCTGCACAACTGCTGGGTAGGTTGGAGGCTGGTTGGCCTCGTTGGGCCATGGGCTAGTTTGGGCTCATTCACAGGTGGACTCAGGGTTCCGTGGTCAAGAACGGAGACTTTGTGGCCTTAGAGTGGACACACTGTCACTTCTACCAGCTTCTGTTGGCCAAAGCAAGACAAAAGGCCAGTTCAGATCAACGGGTGGTATAGTAGTTTGAATAGTGTCCCCACAAAATACATGTACATCTGGAACCTCAGAATGTGACTTTTCTTGGAAATGGTGTCTTTGCTTATGTAATTAAATTAGGGATCTCCAGGTGCAAACATCCTAGAGTTAGAGTGAGCCCCAAATCCAATGACTGGCGTCCTTGTAAGAGAAGGGAAAGACACAGAGTCAGAGAGACACGGTGAGAAAGACACAAAGTCGGGGGCAGAGATTGGAGTGATAGCACTACAAGCCAAGGAAGGCCAAGGGTTGACAGCAGGAGAGAGACCTGGAGTGGATTCTCCCCTAGAGCCTTCAGAGAGAGCATGGCCCTGCCAACAGCTTGACTTTGGACTTACTCTGTTGTTTCAGCCACCTGCTTTTTGGCAATGTGCTACCGCAGCCCTAGGAAGCTAATACTAGAGGGAAATAGACTCCAGCTTTTGATGGGGGAAGCTGCAAAGTCACATCGCAAAGGATGAGAATACAGGAAGGCAGGGGGAAGTAGAGCCTCTTTTGCAATCTTGCACCTTGGTTTACCAGTCCCCACTTTGTTCCTGGCAGGTGTCTTAAAACCCAAGAGCACCACGGAATGCCAGACACCAGACACTCACCACACGCAGTGGGTGCTATTTCTGCACCAGGCTCCAGAGAGTGCGTTCCTGGGTGCCGACGCTCCTACAGCTGCCTCCTCTGCAACAGCCTCTCTTCCCTGTACAGATTCCTCACCACATCCAGTTCCAAATTGCCTTCCTCTCAGCAGAGGCTGCAGAAGGCAGACAGCCAGGAGACTGGGGCCGTCAGGGCACTGGGTACAGCAGTGATCCTCCAGGGACTTCAACACCTCAGGTCCCAGTGGCTGGGGATGACCTGACCCCAGACACCCTCCCCAGATGCAAGTCCATCCCCAGTGCACAGGAAGGAATCCACTTTTGGACTGACTGAAACATTGTGGTGGAAAGGAAGTTTGACAGAGGAAAGTCATTCTCATTCCACAGGCACCTCAAAGACAGGCTTCTCTCTTGGGGGTCTGTAGCTTCCACGAAGTTTTCAGCACATGTTTTCTGAATACTCACCCACATCAATGCTTGAAAGTGGGTTAGATGACTGAATCCTGCCCTTGAGAGCTGACACTGTCACCAAGGTTGTTGAGATGGGCTGGAGTCCCCACTGAGCACTCAGTGACTGGTATGCCAAAGGCTAAGGCCTCACGGTGAACACCATGATGAAAACAACATACAGTTAGATGGGAAGAAAACGTTTCTTCTCTGGCACAGAAAAGGGACCATTGCTAATACAAACATACTGCCTATTTCACAATAGCTAGAAGAGAGGACTTGGAATGTGCTCACCACAAAGAAAGGAAAAGTAGTGGAGGTGACAAATTTGCTAATTACCCTGATTTGATCATTACACGAGCTATACATGTGTGCACAGGTCACACTGTACCCCATAAATATGTACAACTCTATGCTCATTTTTACAATTGGCAATGATGCAAGTGTCCATCCGCTGGCGAATGGATAAACGGAGTGTGGTGTGTCCATATGACAGGATAGCACTTGGCCACGTAGAGGAAGGAAGGGCTGATACATGCCACAGCAAGTGTTGGTGGACTGCTCGGGGCCCTGCACGCCGTCCAGGCTTCCTCCTGCAGGACCAGGATCTTCCCTTTCTCCTCCCGCGTTCCCGAAGTCACCCTGAGTCAGGCAGTGGGTCACAGTGGCAGAGTGGTGAGCTTGGTAGACAAGAAGCAGCCTTCAGGGGGCTTTCACACAGCAGGGGAAATAGAGGGATGACCAACAACAACACCTACTTACAACTTGTGAAGGTGCCGAAAAGAAATCAGAAAGGTGCCCTGGGAAAGGGGAGCTGGAGCGGGGACACTGGGTGAGAAGGAGTTGAAATCTGAGCTGAGACATGACAAACTGTGCTATACTGGGTTGAATAGTGCCCCTCATTCATGTTTTCTCCAGGAACTTCAAGAAAAAAAAAATACACACACACACACACATTTTTTTTTTTTTTTTTTAAAGAATCAGGGTGTTCTTTGGTGGATCACCTGAGGTTGGGAGTTTGAGATCAGCCTAACCAACAAGGAGAAACCCCATCTCTACTAAAAATACAAAATTAGCCCAGTGTGGTGGCACATGCCTGTAATCCCAGCTACTCAGGAGGCTGAGGCAGATGAATCCCTTGAACCTGTGAGGCAGAGGTTGTGGTGAGCTGAGATTGTGCCATTGCACTCCAGCCTGGGTAACAAGAGTGAAACTCCATCTCAAAATTAAAAAAAAAAAAAAAAAAATCAAGGTCTTACTGTGTTGCCCAGGCTCGTCTTGAATCCTGGCCTCAAGTCATCCTCCCATCTTGACCTCCCAAAGCACGGGGCTGAGCCACCACACCCTGCCGGAATATGATCTTATGTGCAAACAGGATCACTGCAGATGTAATTAGTTAATATGAGGTCATACTAGAGTAGGGTGGACCCTTAACCCAGTATGATGTGTGTCCTCATATGAAGAGGTGAGGAGACACAGCCACACACAGAGGTGAGATAGTGAGAGCACAGACACACGAGGGAGATGGCTGTGTGGCAACAGTGGCAGAGACTGCAGCGATGCAGCTAGAAGCCAGGGAGCCTGGAGGATTGTTGGTAACCACCTGTAGCTGGAAGAGGCAAGGAGGATGCTCTCCCACAGCCTTCAGAGGGTGCGGGCCCCTGCCAAGACCTTGACTTCAGAGTTGGGCCTCCACAATGATGAGAGAAGCCATTTCTGTTGTTTGAAGGCACCCAGTGGATGGCATTTGTTACAGCATCCATAGAAGGCTGATACAAGGGCAAAGAGTGTTCCAGCAGAGGGAGGAGCCAGTGCAGATGCCTCCATGAGAAAGTTTCTAGTCCTGCTGGAGCAGTGGCCAGGACGCCTGGAGGAGCGGGAACCCAACAGGCAGGCAGGGACGGTTCCAGAAGGGGTTGGTGCCCAGCCACAGGGTCTTGTGGACCATAGTGAATATGTCTGTTTCATTCTAAGAACATTGGAAAGTCATTGAGGGATTTTACAAGAAAGATGAAACAGAATTTGAAGTTCATTTCTGAAAGATCACATCAGCTGCTCTGTGAAGAGGAGTTTGGAAGAGGTAAGAGAGGAGGCAGGGCAGGCACTGTGGCTGGCAGATCTTCAAATGATTACACAGAGTCACTGCGTGACACACAATTCCACTCCTCCATACAGACCCACGAGAAGCGAAAACATATGTTCATACAGAAACCTGTACCAAATGTTTAAGGCGGCATTATCTGTAATAGCCCAAAGATAGACACAACGCACAAGCCCACCAATGAACCCACACAGTGAGATAGGATTTGGCCATAAAAAGGAAAGAAGTGCCGATACCACTGCACGAATGAACCCTGGAAACATCCTGCTAAGTGAAGGAAGCCAGTCACAGAAGACCCCGGATTGTATGATTCCATTTAGACAAAATGCACAGAAGAGGCAAATCTATAGAGACAGAAAGTAGATGACTAGTTGCTTAGGGCTGCAGGGGTGCGAGCTGAGGAGGGGAGATGGCTGAAGGGGACAGGGCTTCTTTAGGAGGTGGTAAAAATGCTGTGAAATGGACCATAGTGACAATTGCATCTACATGGAATCTACTAGCAACCACTGAATTGTGTACCTTTGTTTTTAAGTGAAAGCAGACTTATTAGAGAAGTAAAGAAACAAAAGAATGGCCACTCCATAGGCAGAGCAGCCTGAATTGTACACTTTAAATGGGAGCATTATATAATACGTGAGTTACATTTCACTAAAGCTGTTTCAAGAGAAAAAGAGTGAAGGCTCAGAGGAGGTTACTGAGCACTCTGGTGGAAGCAAGTGGTGACTTAGGTCAGGGTCATAGAAGCAGAGACAGCAAGAAAGGATGAAAACAGTGTATTGTGGAGGCCAAACAGACAACTGATGAATAGAGCAACACCTGCAGTCTATCCGTAAAGGGGAATATTATTCAGCCTTAAAAAGAAATGAAATTAACCTTGCTGCAACATGACAAGCCTTGAAAACATGATGTTAAGTGAAATAATGCAGACACCAAAGGTCACAAATGGAATGATTTCACTTCTATGAGGTTTCCACAATAGGCAAATTCATAGAGACAGAAGGAATGGAGGTTACCAGGAACTGGGAGGGAAAAAGAATGGGACATTATTATCTCACAGTTCCAGAATTTGTTTGGGATGATTAGAAAAAAAAAAAAAAACCAGGATGGTTGCACAATGTTTTGGATCTAAATGCCACTGAATTGTACACCTTAAAATGGTTCCACTGGTAAATATTATGCTACGTATATTTTACCACGAAGAAAATAAATGCACAGAAGTGAGAGAGCAGTGAGTGTAGGCCATCCTTCCGAGAGGCAATGCCCTGAAAGAGAGATGGGATTTAGGAAGGGGTCTTTCAAAAGCAGGCGCACAGGAAATGATTCATTTGCCCAGGAGAGAAAGGATGAAGGAGGAGCAGGTCCCTTCAAAGTCCACAAACTGAAGACCCAGGGCAGAAGGGGAGGAGGGTGTCTTTGCTGGGGACAGAGGAGTGTGGTGAATAGGGAGGGAAACAAGGGCGTGCCTTCTGTTTACTCAGCACAGGAAGAAGCAAGGCCACTAGGACAGGAGATGAAGAAGAACAGGCTCCCTTTTGAGATGCACAAGCCTATTCTTATCTAAACACCCTTGAATAAGACAAACATGAGCACTACCCAAATAAGAAAGGTGACTTTGGGCAGGAATGCCTGCCACCCTCTTAAGGGCTCTCTCTCCCCTACCCTAGCCTAGACTGAAGACCTCGACCTCCAGCTTCCCTCCCAGCCCCTTCCTTGGCTGGGTGAGGTCACCTCTTTTGCAAACTCCACTGGCATTTCTGGCCCAAGTTCCCTTACTCTTTTAAATGGTTCTCTAATTGCTTCATTTGCATAAACCTGCTCTCCTGGGCATCTGAACAGCTCCCCAAGCAGGGCCTGACTGCAGAGCTGGCTTCCCTTATGCCAGGGCCCTCCTGCCTGCATCCCTGGATTGCTTAGGGCTGCAGCAGTGAGAGCTGGGGAGGGTAGATGGCTGAAGGGGACAGAGCTTCTTTTGGAGGTGATGAAAGAGCTGATGATAAAAGAGCCACCCACCTGGCCCCACCAGTGAAGGGCCCCAGCTGACACCAACTCTCTTGATTCCTGTTTTCCTGGGTCAGACCCAGCTGGAGGTCCTCAAACTCTGAAGCAGTTCTCAACCCTGCTTGCACATTTTAATCATTTTTGCGAAATACCAATGCCGGATGCCCAGCCCGGACACTCGTCTGTTTGGTCTGGGGATGATGCCCTGGAATGGATGTGTTTAGATTCCCCATGTGACTCTGATACACAGCCAGGATACGAACCACTGCTCTAAAGCGGGTGAGATTCCCCTGGGGACTTCATTAGAATCAGTGCCCAATTTCACTTCTGGAAGTCCATGGTTGAGGTCCAAGAATCTGTGCATTTTAACGATACAGCCCGCCCAGGGGAGCCTGATGCAGGTCCCTTGGGAAGTTCAGGGCATGGTGCAAAGGACTCTCACCACCCCTCCCTCTCATCCACATTGGCTCTGAGGTAGACGACACTTTCTCTGGAAGGCTCCGGAGTCATGGTTGCAGGGCTGGTTTGTAACTGGAGGTCAGGGGCAATGTGGGGTGTGCATAGAGAGAAGCCCCTGTGAGGACCAGGGACCACTCCTGCTCACCCACATCAGTGACAGCCCAGCCTGGGGCTGGCCCTGGAAGGTCAAAATATGAGCAGATTGGGCCGGGGTTGGTGCTGGGTTGAGTTCAAGGGCATGCGGCTGGGGTCTCCATTCCAGATCCCTCCTTCCCTCTGTCACTTCAAATACCATTAGAGCCACCTGGGAATTCTGTCCTGAGTCACTCTGGGGAAGAGCAGGAGAGGTTGTGCTGGGCCAGGAACATGGGGCCTGAGCCCCCAACTCCTCCCCCTTCCTCTGACTGCCCTGCTTTGAGGACTTGTCTAAACTACACGATGCCAGGCCGGTGCTCCCAGCTTGGGCTCTCACCCCAGGTCCCATAGAGAAGGTGGAGAAGGCTCAGGATGGAGGTTTAGAGGACAGTCTGAGTCTTGGGTCCTCTGGGCAGCCCTTCACCTTGAGCATTCAGACTGTCAAGTCCGAGAGAGACAAGCAAAACCCTTAAGTGGTCCAGAGTTGGCAGGAACCAGGGCAGTGATTAAACCCACTTCAGATCATTTCTGTGGCCGCCTTGTCACCCAGCCTGGTTATGTGATTCAGTAGCGACTGACAGCAGGTGGAGTGAGCCGGGCTGGAAGCTGCCAGCTCCATCCACCCTGCTTGGGGGCAGCTGTTCCCCTATCCACAGTTCCCTTGTCCCAGAGGCCAGGACTGGGGCCAGGACACTGATTAGACACCCAGGCCTCCTGGCCTCTAAGAGCCACAACTGGGAGTCATCCATGACATCTGGGGAACCTCCTCAACTTCAGAGGAGGATATGGGGGCCCGAGCTAATGGACGGGTAAGTCAGGACCTGAACACAGTTCCCTGACCCCAACACCTGTGTGCACCTGAGTGTTCAAGCTCCATCCTCCCCTCAGAGAGAGCAGACAGTCCTAAAGAAAGCCAGACTGCTTGGATTTGAATCCAGGCTCTGCTTCAGACCAACTGTGTAACTCTGGACCTGTGTCTCAACCTCTCTGTTCTCCAAGTGTACTCTCTATTAATGTGGATGATAATAGGACCTACCTCTTAGGGTTACCGTGGGGATTAAATCTGGTAATTTTTTTCTTTTGAGTCTTGCTCTGTCGCCCGGGCTGGAGTGCAGTGGTACCATTGCGATATAGCTCACTGTAACCTCCGCCTCCCAGGTTTAAGCGATTCTCCTGCCTCAGCCTCCTGAGTAACAGGGATTACAGGTGTGCACCACTACACCCAGCTAATTTGTTAGTAGTTTTAGTAGAGATGGTGTTTCACCATCTTGGCCAGGCTGGTTTTGAACTCCTGACCTCAAGTGATCCACCCACCTCAGCCTCCCAAAATACTGGGATTATAGGCGTAATTTTTTTTTAAACCTATTTATATTGGTGCTTACCACATGTCAGATACCTTTCTAAGCACTTTATAAATGTTAAGCTGTTGATAGTAACCCCAATGAGGTAGATCCCACATTTTATACACAAGGAAACTAAGTCACAGAGAGATTAAGGTTATACAGCCAGTAAGTGGCAGAGTTGGAATTCGAGCCAGAGTGGGGTTCAAGGGTCCATCCACACTCTTAGCTACTTACCATGCTGTTGCCCATGTGCTACTAGAAAGCAGGTGGCGCTTACATGTTTATAGCATCCATGATGACCATCAGACCTGAGCTGCAGAAGTTGTGGCTAGTCTGTGGTCATTGTCTGGTGGGTGGGTTGCCTCCACCCTCAGGCCTTTCTTTTGCTTTTTTTCCCCCTTTACTCTTGAAAGGGAAGGTAAAGCCCTGGAAGTCTACAGCTCTCTGCTGTGGGGGCTGCCTGAGCGGGTGGCAGGGCCCTTCTCTCCTGTTCCATGGAGGATCTGATTCACGGTGGGCACCTCATGGCTGCTTCTGGCATCTATTTCCTTATTTTGGTGATGGCAGAGAGAACCCAGGACAAGGCCTGTCAAGGAATTTTTTTTTCTTTTTTTTTTTGAGATGGAGTTTTGCTCTCATTGCCCAAGCCAGAGTGCAATGGTGCGATCTTGGCACCTGCCAACTCTGAGACACAGGTCCAGAGTTACACAGTTGGTCTGAAGCAGAGCCTGGATTCAAATCCAAGCAGTCTGGCTTTCTTTAGGACTGTCTGCTCTCTCTGAGGGGAGGATGGAGCTTGAACACTCAGGTGCACACAGGTGTTGGGGTCAGGGAACTGTGTTCAGGTCCTGACTTACCCGTCCATTAGCTCGGGCCCCCATATCCTCCTCTGAAGTTGAGGAGGTTCCCCAGATGTCATGGATGACTCCCAGTACTCCTGGGCTCCCACTCACGTCCCTGCAGACCTCCCCCCGACTTTCCCACAGACATGTGTGATGGTTTGCAAAAACACCCTCAACCCCAAAGAATAACCTGACTGTAAAATGCTTAAGGCTGGGCATGGTGGCTCACGCCTGCAATCCCAACCCTTTGAGAGGCCGAGGGGGGCAGATCATTTGAGGCCAGGAGTTTGAGACAAGCTTGGCCAACATGGCAAAACCCTGTCTCTACCAAAATGCAAATATTAGCCAGGTGTGTTGGATGTGCTGTAATCTCAGCTACTCGAGCGGCTGAGAACCGTTTGAACCTGGGAGGCGGAGTTGCAGTGAGCCCGGGTCACGCCATTGCACTCCAGCCTGGCAAGGGTGAGACTCTCAAAAGTAAAAATTGAAAAGAAATAAAATAGAATGCTTAAGAAAAATGAAACAAAACAAAAGCAGTATCATGGAAATAAAGAGCAGGAGGCTGCTTATTGAGCGGGTGGAGTTGAAGTAAGACTGGAGCTGGAAGGAGAGAAGGTCATCTCCAGGATCTGTTCCTCAGAGGGAGCCCTGTGTGCACTGCTCTTTCCCGGAGCAGCCCTCTGCAGGTGAAGTGTCACAGGAAGCAGAAAATCACAGATTCAGCCTTGGGGGTTACCAACTTGGGGAGTCGAAGCTTCCTGCTCCTCCTCTTAATAACTGTGTGCTTCAAAACCCTCCTGCAAGGCAAGGTGGCTCACGCTTGTAATCCCAGAACTTTGGGAGGCCAAGGTGGGCAGATCACGATGTCAGGAGATCGAGATCATCCCGGCCAACATGGTGAAAACCATCTATACTTAAAAAAAAAAAAAATTAGCTGGGCGTGGTGGTGTGCACCTGTAGTCCCAGCTACTAGGGAGGCTGAGGCAGGAAAACTGCTTGAACCTGGGAGGCGGAGGTTGCAGTGAGCTGAGATTGTGCCACTGTACTCTAGCCTGGCAACAGAGGGAGAGTTGGTCTCAAAAAAAGAAAGAAAGAAAGAAAGAAAGAAAGAAAGAAAGAAAGAAAGAAAGAAAGAAAGAGAAAGAAAGAAAGAAAGAAAACCTTCCTGGCATATTGGCCCCCTTGTTCCCTCCCAAGAAGCAGTAGGACTTGGGAGGACTGAGGATCTCCCAGACAGTCCACTGTGCCCTGCTCCTTCACTCCCTGACAGTCAAAAGTGAGTTTTTTACTTTCTGAAGGAAAGCTGAACCTGCCACATCAGATTCTTAGCAGGCACTCCCCTCTTGGGGTTCTGGCCTGAACTCTTGGAGAACCTGTGCTTATTAAAGTGACCGCAAGCCCGAGGGCTGAGGACAGGACACCCAGGAAGCCCCAGGGACCAGCAGAGAGCTCTTTCTAGCTTCCTGGGTGGGCATCCTGGCCAGTCCCACAGGCTCTTGCCTGGTTTTATTATGGTCTGCTGTTTCTGTCTTGAAATTATAAATCATTTTTTACAAGAAGTGTAACATTTTTATTTTGTACTGCCCTGCCAAGTGAGGTGGCTGCTTCTGCCTGGGGGTGTCAGTGTCCCATGGACATAAGACAGTGAAATTAAGGGGCTCCTTTCTCCTCCCACCTGGCATTTTCTCTGTGTTGAGGTTTCTCAACACAGCAGTGGTGACACTTTGAGCTAGATGACTCGTGGCGAGGGCTGTCCCGGCTGGTAGAATGTTTAGCAGTGCCCCTGGCATCTACCCACTAGGCGTCTTTAGTGCCCAGTCTCCCAGATGTGACAACCAGAAATGTGTCCAGACATATCCAGATGTCCCTTACAGGGAAGGCACAATTGCTGTAGCTTCACAGGCTCCAGCTGGAACCCCTGCTGCGAGGGATGGAGCAGGTGAGCTTTTCTTTCAGACTGACATAGAAAATTCTGGCTTGGTACGATGCTTCATGCCTGTAATCCCAGCACTTTGGGAGGCCAAGGTGGGCAGATCACCTGAGGTCAGGACTTTAAGAGCAGCCTGACCAACATGGAGAAACCCCGTCTTGACTAAAAATACAAAATTAGCTGGGCATGGTGGTGCACGCCTGTAATTCCAGCTAGTCAGGAGGCTGAGGCAGGAGAATCGCTTGAACCTGGGAGGCGGAGGTTGCTGTGAGCCAAGATCGCACCATTGAACTCTGGCTTGGGCAATGAGAGCAAAACTCCATCTCAAAAAAAAAAAGAAAAAAAAATTCCTTGACAGGCCTTGTCCTGGGTTCTCTCTGCCATCACCAAAATAAGGAAATAGATGAAGAAGGCCGGAGCTTCTGAACTAAGAGAAACCCTACCAAATTTGGGTGGGGGGAGACTCTGAGGAATATTGCAGAAAGCTGGGAGGGAGATGGACAGGTAGATCCCAGACACCTGAACTTCCTGACGGAGCCAAGTTCAGCTCCTTCTGCGGCTTCTGAGAATGCCCCCTTGCCTCCTCTTTGGACTCCTGCATCAACAGGGCAGCTGGGAAACCACCAGGCTTGGAGTCAGAAGACCCAGATTTACATTTCACCCCCCCCGCTGTGTGATCATGAGCAAGTTTCATAAGCTTTCTGAGCCTGTTTACTCATCCACAAAATAAAGCTAATCATACATATCTCGGGAGTCACAAGGCGAAAGAAAAAGTGTGTAAAGCCCCTGGCAGGTGCTCAGTACCAGCAGTTATTATGCCTTTTTTTCTAACCAGCTCCGAACAGATCCCTGGCCCCACTGGAGCCCTCATTTATCCCCACCTGTGCCACAGAATAGCTGACTGGGCCCGCTGCAGTGTCTCACGCCTATAATCCCAGCACTTTGGGAGGCCAAGGTGGGCAGATCACGAGGTCAGGAGTTTGAGACCAGTCTGGCCAACATAATGAAACCTGTCTCTACTAAAAATACAAAAAATTAGCCGAGTGTGGTGGGGTGTACCTGTAGTCCCAGCTACTCAAGAGGCTGAGGCAGGAGAATTGCTTGAACCCAGGAGGTGGAGGTTGCAGTGAGCCGAGATCGCATCATTGCTCTTCAGCCCGGGCAACAGTACGAGACTTCATCTCAAAAAAAAAAAGCTGACTGGTGTCTTTCCTCCACCCAAGGGGAAGAGACAGCCTGGGGATACGATTGAAGTGAAGCTTGAGGAGTGTGCCCTAGAAGGGGTAACCATCTCGTGTTTTGTGAGTAATTAAAAATGGTATTTGGTCTCTGGTGACACTGCCGTGAAAGAACCTTGGCAAAACAAGCTTCAAAGGTGCAGCATTCCCCAGACATTTCCTCCCGACTCCCACATCGGAGCATCTCAATCCCCATTAGGGGGCATCTGTGGCTGTGGGCAAGGCCAGGCTTGCTCTCTCCTTGAAAGAGATCATAATCCTCTCCCTGAAATTTGATTTTAATTGTGATTGTTCTTATTCATCTTAAAATTCATGTGAGGCTGTAAATCCACTCATCTTGCCTCACTCTCTTCATTCTGTGAGGTTTAAAATGATGGAGAAAAAAAGTCATACTTTGCAATAGGTTAAAGGAATTGAAGTCTAAAACCTGGGCAAGGGCAGGCTCCTGCAGGGGAGGGGCCTGGGAATTGTGAGTTGAGGGCTCCAGCTCTGCATTGAAGTTCTCTTATGAGCTCAGCGTTTCCTCCTGATACTGCTGGGAATCTAAATAAGGCATAGCTCTGCCCTTGAGGAGCTGATAATCTAAAGTTTTTAGGGAACAGATGCTGACCAGTTCTCCAACTCCATATAGAGCTGAGCAGGAGAGAATCTTTGAGACAGGTATGCCGGACTGAAGAAGCTTTGTTCCTTTAAATTCTAGAGCTAGTAGAATTCTTCTGCCTGAAATGTCCTTCCCCACAACCACTCATTCATTTATTTGTAAAAATAACTCCTTTTTATTCTTCAAAATTTTGAGGATGAGCCACCTCCTCTGGGAAGCCTTCCTGGAATATCCCCAAGGGATGAGTGAATCTTATTCTATTGACTCACTGTACTGGATTTACTTATCTATGTGTCTGGTGTCTTCATCTTTGGTTACTAGGAGACAGGGACTTTGCCTCCCTTGTACCTTTGATTTTTATCTGATTATTGGATTTGGCTATCGAGCCACTTAGAGATGGGGACCTGGACCACTGGCTTCTGGAAGTCCTTGCTTTCTCTTGGAGTTTCAGAATTGCTCTTTCGCCCCAAGATGAATACTTTGTTCATTTAGTAAAGTGGAAAGATAATTTCCTGACCTTAATATGAAAGCTGAGATATTCTCAGCCCTTAATGATCAAAGGGCTGCCCCGGCCTCCCTAGACACAGGAATCTCAGGGAGGACTCTGTAGCTCCCAGGCTGAGTAAATGGCTTTAAACTTTGCTATAGCCCAGGCCTCCGTAATTAAATTTTACACGTTAATCTGAACGGGAGCTCTGTGAAGCGCTTCCTTTGAGCTCTGCAGGGCTAATTCAGAAAAGCAGCAGTTGGGAGCAGCCTTGATGTAAATGGAAATAGAATGGCCGCCACCTGCAGGCTGGGCATTGGAATCGGCCATATGCTAATGAGGGTACCCTGATGATTTAAGGGGCACTGTGGAAACATCCCGTATCTGTCAGTGGGTTGCTGCCCCTGTGGGGTTTCACTGGATCAGTCCCTCTGTTGCCAGGACCATGTGCAGTGATGCCAGCAGGGGTCTTAATGGTTCAGTCTTAATTGGTTCAGGCTGATTTAATGACTCACCACAACCCTAATATCAAAATGAGTGGGTGACATACTGGTGAGGCCAGCATCCCCATCTTCAAAAGTCAGAGCTGTGTTGAGAGACAGCGAAGGAAACCTGCCCAAGGCTCCCACCGTGATGAGGTTAAACCTGTCTTGATGTGGTTGAAACCTGTAATTCTTAGAGCTTCCCTTGATTGCAGTCTCTCCCTACAGCTGCTTCCAGAGTCCCTAAAGACCTAAGTGGGTTTCTCCTTCCTGGAAAAGCACTTGTTTTACAAGCTGTCAGCTAGGGAGTAGGCAGAAAGAGCTATTATTTCAGCACCAAGCCATGCTTTCTCAGAGTCTCACCTACTAAGGGGTCACCTGGGCACCTTGTTAGATGCCGATTCTGAATCAGGTCTGTGGTAGCCTGGGTTTTGCAATTGTTGTTTTGTAATTTTTATTTTTTAGCAAGAGCCTTGCTCTGTCACCCAGGCTGGAGAGCAGTGGCGCAATCACAACTCACTGCAGCCTAGACCTCCTGGGCTCAGGCAATCCCCCAAGTAGCTGGGAGTACAGGTGTGTGTCACCATGCCCGCCTATTTTTTGTGTGTAGTTTTATAGAGATGGGGTTTCATCATGTTGCCCAGGTTGGTCTTGAACTCCTGGGTTCAAGTGGTCTGCCCCCCTTCAGCTCCCCCAAAGTCCTAGTGATGACAGCAGTGGGCCATCTAGTGCAGCTGCTACAATCACGCTGGCCACTGCAGGGAGGATGCAGGAGGAGGCAAACAGCCCTGCCCAGCAGCCCACTGCCCTGGGGACCTCTGCAATGTGGCCAGGCCAGGTTGTGTGCTCAGTGAGGGGGAGCTCCAGGCTGCCCCTGAGCATCAGGGCCACAGGGGGCATTTGTAGCCATGTTGCCCCTGCCCGGATGCTGGCCCAGACCCAGTGAAGACCCGGAACGCCCAGACCCAGTGAAGACCCGGAACCCCCAGCCCAGGATTCCAGGGGGCACAACCCAGTGCCATGCTCCACAGAGCTAGTGGGAGCTGAGGACAAGTGGGAGCTCTGCATCTTCCAAGTTGGTGGGGCAGGAGCTCCCAAGGTACAACTACAGTCACTCAAGCCACAGCTGCAACCCAGGTGCCCTGTGCTCCTGGGAGCTGGGAGTGGGCAGGAGCCCCACCCTCCTGGGCAGGGCCGCAGCTGCCAAGTCATGGCTGTGGATCTGGGCCTCCCACTCCACGGAGCAGGCAGGAGCCACACCCCACTGAGCACAGTCATCCAAACCAAGGTTGCAGACCCAGGCATCCCTGCACTCTTGGGGGGCCTGGGGATGCCCCCCTTGCTCTTGCAGGCATGGAGGTTCCTGCTTCCACTGCCTGGCTCTCCTCACTCCAGACTCCTGCTCTGATTTCAGAGCAGGGTTGGGGCCAAGCCTGGTCACTGTCACAGCCTGGCCGAGTATACACAGGCTTGGGGCAGTGCTGACATGCCAGACCCCTGCTGCCCTGGTCCACTCCAAATCTGGGCACTGAGGAGTGTGGGGGTGGGGGAAGCTGAAAGGGGGCTGAGGGTGGCAGAGGGCGGCTGAGTGCTGGCCTGCAGGTGCGCCTTGGTGCAAAAAAGATCCCATAAAACTGGGATTACAGACATGAGATTCTGTGCCCAGCAGGTTCTGCATTTTTAACAGGCTCCTTAGTCAAATGCCATACTTGAGTGGCAAGAATCTACCAGCATCACCCCATCCCACCCTCACTGCAATGTTATGAGGAGGGAAGGGGACTAGCTTTTCAGGAGCACCTGTTACTTGCAACTAGAGTGGTCGACAACCATACAGAACATGCCTGCTCAGGACTTTGGACAAGAAGGTCAACCACAGATCAAAACCTGGTGTTTATCACCTTTTAGCAAGTGGGGAAATGGAGGCTACAAAGGTTAAAGGGAGGGAGGCCCAAGAGAGGAGAGGATTGAGGGGTGATATGTGATAGGAGTGGCCTCAAAAAGATGCAACAGCCCTTCACTAGTTCTGTGTTTGGAGGATGGGCTGTCTTATGTGATTCTTCCCACTGTTTGGAAATGGAGCATTATAGGTGACCTTTGATTCTGGGGCCTTAGGGAACGTCCCTGGCTCTGGTGTCTGAGCAGATTTTAGGCTGGTGGTGAGAAAGCACACTCTTGCCCTAGTAGAAAACATTTTTCAACCT